GTGCCTTCTTTCCTTCTTTCTTTCTTCCTTCCTTCCTTCCTTCCTTCCTTCCTTCCTTCCTTCCTTCCTTCCCTGTGTGTGTCTCTCTTCCTTCCTTCCTTCCTTCCTTCCTTCCTTCCTTCCTTCCTTCCTTCCTTCCTTCCTTCCATCCCCTGCCGTGTAATGTGCCCTGATACCTCAACAGAAAGGGGCTTCTGCTTTCCCTAACGCTGCCAGTTTTACGGGGAAGGGGACGGGGGAAGTGGGCAGCACTGGTGGGATGGGCTTGACTGCGTTGGAAGGTATGGAAGGCACAGGCCAGCATCTTGGGTGGGTGGGGGGATGACTTTCCCTGCACTGCCAGAAGGGGGCACTGGTTAGCCTCAAAGCAGAGCGAATGAGAACGCTGAGTGGGGTCTTAAAGCTGTGCGCCTGAGTTCAACCTATAGTTAGTTTTTGGAGATCTTGTCCTCATCTTCAGCGAAGATCATTGGTTTTACTTAATTTAATTAATTATGTCTCCCCACCCCACCCCCCACCCAGAGCACTGACATTCTGGCCGCTGTCCTTCATCTGGAGCAAACTTTCCACTTGCCAGCAGCTGAGGCACCGCCTGCAGCACCTCCAAGTCGTCAGCAGCACCAGGAAGGCCCCAGACCAGGCCCAGCTGATGAGGTGAGCTCTGGGCACGCAGGTGGCCGTCCTGGGCGATGGGCGGGTAGTTCTGCACCCCGGCAAAGGCCTGAATCACCTATACGTTGCAGCATTCACACACACACACTCATGATGCTTACTCCCATTTGGGTTATCGGCAGGGGCGGGTTGGCTATCCAGGCTCCTAGGGAAAGCCCTGGTAGGCTGCTGAGGCCACCGTGGCCCCAAGCAAGGCCACGTGGCCTTTGCCCTGTGAGGCACGGGGAAGGAGGCGACTGGTCCAGCCTCACTCGTGCAGCCAACAATGGATTACATAAGAACCTAAGAGAGAAGCCCATGTTGGACCAGGCCAAAGGCCCCTCCAGTCCAACACTCTGTGTCACACAGGGGCCAAAAACACCAGGGGCCATCAGGAGGTCCAGCAGTGGGGCCAGGACACTGGAAGCCCCCCCACTGTCGTCCCACCCAAGCACCAAGAAGACAGAGCATCCCTTGCCCCAGACATAAGAGATGCCAATGTTGCATCAGGCCAAAGGCCCCTCCAGTCCAACACTCTGTGTCACACAGTGGCCAGAAATACCCAGGGGCCATCAGGAGGTCCAGCAGTGGGGCCAGGACACTAGGAGCCCCTCCCACGGTTGACCCCCCCCCCAGGCACCAAGAAGACAGAGCATCACTTGCCCCAGAGCCCCTATCTATACCTTGTGGCTAAGAGCCACTGATGGACCTCTGCTCCATATGCTTATCTAATTCCCTTTTGAAGCTGTCCGTGCTTGTAGCTGCCGCCACCTCCCGTGGCAGTGAATTCCAAGTGTTAATCACTCCTTGGGTGAAGAAGGACTTCCTTCTATCCGTTCTAACCCAACTGCTTAGCAATTTCATGGAGTGCCCACAAGGAGTTCTTGTATTGTGAGAAAGGGAGAAAAGTACCTCTTTCTCTACCTGCTCTTTTCCATGCATAATCTTATAAACCTCGATCATGTCACCCCCTCAGCCGTCGTTTCTCCAAGCTAAAGAGCCCTAAGCGCTTCAACCTTTCCGCATAGGGAAAATGTTCCAACCCTTTTATCATCCCAGTTGCCCTTCTCTGCACTTTTCCCCAGTGCTATAACATCCTTTCTGAGGTGTCGCATGGGCAGCAAAGGACCCGCCTGGCTCAGCCCAGCCTTGCTCTCGCATGCGGCACTGCGAAGGCCTGGCTTGGCCTTGGACTGGCTTGCCCCAGCCTGGCCCAGTCTCATTCTCATGTGTTGAGCAACGAGGGGCTGGCCCAGCTTTGCTTGGGGATGCGGTGAGAAACCAGCCTGACTCATTCCCCCCTCCTTCGGGAGGAGGGTCCAAAGCAAGAGGGGGGCGGGGCCAAGGTGGACTGGGGCGGGGCCCTTTTCCAGGGCTTCCCCCCCTACCCCCATCCACCCCCAAGCTTTAGTACATGCTGGGATCCGGGGAGTGTTTGAGGGCTGGGAGCAGAGGCCCGTGGGGGTTTCGAGCGTCTGTGAACAACAGCCCTTCACTGCCCACCAGGCTGCAGACCGCTTTTGGCAAGCTGTTCCCCATGGCCAGTCCCAGAGCCATTTGCTGCACGGCCCATTGGAAAAGAGCCCATCTGCTGTTCCCAGAGGCGTGCGAATGTCGCAGGGCAGTCCTTTTGGATCCCGGTCTCCATTCAGTGCCGTCGCCATTGAAAGCAAAGCGCTCTGCGTCTTATTGGTTCCAGTGGGAAGCTTGAGTGCGTTTTTGGCTTTCCTCCACTGAAATCGCTGGCCTCTGAACGTGTTTTATCACTGGCTGGGACATGCTTTACGCGTGCAGCCCCCTAATTTACTAACCCCCCCCCTCCAGGCAATAACAATATCGCAAAACGTGGAGTAAGTTTTCCCTATTGAAACCTGAAGAACGTTTTATGACAGATAGCTGGGTCCAGCAACCAAGGGTGGTTCAAAAACTTCCCGAAAGAGGGAAGGTTGGCTTTGCTGTCGGTGCAGTTTGGGGATGGCACATCTCCTGTCTATGCACACCCACATCTGAAAAGCCGTCCTAAGAACATAAGAAGAAGAAGAGGTTGGATCTGTACCCCACCCGTCACTACCCAAAGGAGTCTCAGAGCGGCTCACAAACTCCTTTCCCTTCCCCTCCCCACCACAGGCACCCCATGAGGTAGGCGGGGCTGAGAGAGCTCTTTCGAGCACTGTCCTTGAGAGAACAGCTCTGAAACAACTTGTGACTGACCCAAGGTCACCCAGTAGCTGCATGTGGAGGAGCGGGGAATCAAACCCAGTCCTCCCAGATTAGAATCTGTGCTCTTGACCATTAACCATTGGTCTGCTTATTTCGACAGACAGGGAAGGCCTTGAAATGGTTTACCAGGAGAGCCAGAAATCAGACTTGAGACCGTCTGCATCCAAACCATGTGCCCCATGCTTCCTTCCCCTTTCTCTGATGGGACCTTCCTTCCAGCCCACCCCAGTCAGTGGGTTGCCCCCCCCCACATTCCTTCCCCTCCTTCTTCACACAATGAGTGATTAAAATGTGGGATTCGTTGCCAGTGGATGTAACAATGGCAGCAGGCACAGAGACAACTTGAAAAGAGGATTAGAGAGATTTGTGGAGGATACATCTGCCAGGGGCTACTAGGCATGGCGATGAAAGGGAACCTTCCACACTTAGAAGCAGCAATCCCCTGAATCCCAGAGCCAGGAGGCAACGCTGGGGGAGGCCTTGGCCTCTCTGCCCCGTTGCTGGCCCAGCATGGTAGACGGTTGGCCGCTGGGTGAGACAGGTCTCTAGACTAGATGGACCCACCCCTGGGGTCTGATCCAGTAGGGCTCTTCTTAGGTTCTTTATGTCTCTGGGCTAGAGCAGCTGTAATGTATCCAGTTCTGACCGTGTGGCCGGCTTGGGCTCCACGCGGTCAAGCGCAAATGTCAAACTTCGCTCCAGGAAACAATGAACTAAGCGGATCCTAGCCCGCACCTATCCAAGGTCTAGGTTCCCGGCCGAGAGCCTATGGAACTCTCGGCCACTGTAAATAACCTATTGTGATGTGTGTGTGGGGGATGTTCTGGGTGGTGGTTTCACGGGGGATATAAGCCGGCCTGCGAGCCGGCTAAAGTTGTCTTGTTCCTCACTAAATAAAGTACGTTAGCCAGGGGTCATTTCCTGCAGGAGCGCACAGGAGCGGAGCTCTGGCAGTAAAGAGCCCAGGGGGCGGGCATATGCAACAAGCCCCACTCCCCACCCCCTGCTCCCAGCAGCCCTCAGTCAGAGCAAGAAGCAGCCAGGTAAATTGTGGAGCCCCCCCCCTCCGGCCCAAAACCGTCCAGTGGCACCTTTAAGACCGAGTTTTATTCAGGTACCAGCTCTCCCTCCTCTGCGAGGACATACTGCTCATTCCCCCCCCCCCGAATAGCTAGCAATCCAAAAGAGTCCAGTGGAGCCTGAGTGGTGGGTGCTGCCTTCTGTCACACTTCCGGTAATGTCAGGGGGTGTGGCATATGCAAATGAGTTATGCTAATGAGCCCCTGCACCTCTTTTTCTACGACATGATCCCTGATGTTACCTGAAATCACTCATCTGTCTGCGTACTTTTCAGCAGCCAGGGAGATAGAATCACAGAATCATAGAGTCCGAAGGGACCTCCTGGGTCGTCGAGTCCGACCCCCTGCACAATGCAGGGGATTCACACATACCTCCCCCCCCCCCACCACCCC